ACCTCTGCTATTTCCATGACAATGGGTTCCTTTACATTGTAGACAGACTAAAGGAGTTAATAAAATACAAGGCATATCAGGTATCATATAATCTCATAGCGTTCGTAATTCTGCAGGATTTGTGACGAGTGCAGCCTTTCCATCTTTGTTTAAGTGAGTTCATAATGTTGCAGGTTTCTCCCATGGAATTGGAGCAGGTTCTTCAATCTTTGACTGATATTGTTGATGTAGCTGTTACCGCGTATGTGTCAACTCAATCCATAGTGATTTTTCATTTATTTTGATACACTAATGCGTCAGCTCATATATATTGATGTTTCATATTTTCCTAGTTATTCACCTTACTCTTTGAGTTTGATGTGGTCAAGGCCGCATTGTTACGTTTGCTACAGAAAGGTCAATTGTAGATGGATTTGGATCCTCTCCACTACCAAAAAGTAGTGGAGGGACCATAATTTTTTATTATAACCATTGATTATCTAGTGTGTAATTGTGGTTTATTCTAAATTTAGCACTCACCACACTTACCATCAATTGTACCCATTAGTAATTTGCACCTCAAAGAAAAATCATAGCCATCCACCTTATGGTCAATGATCAATGTCACGAATTACCGGTTCACTCGCTACTTTTTTGATTGTAGAGAGGATCCCAGTCTATTGTAGATATACCATGTATTGGCAACATCAACTTAGCCAACTTATCATCTCTCATCTTCAATATCAGCGTATTTAATCAGATATATCAAGTGTGAGGGACATGATATTTCAAGTAGAGTTAATTGCATATTAATCTTATGCACTTTTTCTTTCTTAGTAATAACCCCTATTTATGTTTTTTGAAATGAAGGAAAAAAGATCGTTCCTTGAAATTGGATTAACTATTAATTGCAAGGAAACTAATTTACTTCCTAAATGATGGCAAAAAGCCAATGGCTATCACCCTATACAACTACCGTATCTTTAAAAACTAAAATTCAATAGGAAGGTTGAGAATTCGAAACTATTACGAGTGTAAAGTATAAAGGTTATTTTGCAATTAGCCCAAAAAACTAAGAAAGTAGTATAGGGCTAGCAGACTTTGTTTGAATTCTTCATTTTTAGGAGGTTATTGTTTTCTTCCTTGTTATCAGTAATTTGTGTGTGCTATTACAATGACTTTAACCTATTATTAAGTTTTTTTGGGTTTAAAAATGCCATAACTTATTTCGTACAACTTTGAAAATGCCAGGTATCCTGATGAAGAAGCTGGACAAATACCAATGGCATTAGTGGTGAGAAAACCTGGAAAAGACCTTGAAGAAGCCCAAGTTATTGATTATGTCGCAAAGCGGGTGAGAGTTTAACCATATTTTCCCTTGGAATAGAGCTTAATGAAAGTCTTTTTCGAGCAGTGCTCATGCTCGACTGTGGATTAATTAGTCATTGCCTTCTCTAATGTAGGTTGCGCCTTACAAAAAAATCCGTAAGGTCGCCTTTGTCAACTCTATTCCAAAGTCGCCAGCAGGAAAAATTTTGAGGAGAGAGTTGGCAACTTATGCTCGATCTGCGATTATCTCTAGGTTGTGAATGTTTAAATGGAAATGCAGAATCATTCTTCCTTGTAGTATCAAAGTTATGTTGACTGGACTATGAAGACTACGTGTATTAAGCTTGTGTCAGAAATTCTACAGAAGTGGAGGGAAATAATAATGCGAATGACAGATGACTACTCAAATAAGACGGGCATTTTTTTTTGTTGGTATAAACAGAGCGAGAAGACCTATTCAACTTATAATTACCAAAACAATATTACAAAAAAAATAAAATAAAATAACAATTCCTGGAGATTGACATTACCTGAACTATGTGATATCCAAACCCCTTGCACAAATGTGAATGAAGAGTGGGCATGGTGGTTACTCATCGCTAAGTTAGATCAAAAGGGTTTGCTTATCACATACCTATGTGATGTGCCCAAACGAGCACACTAGGAAGATATCCTAGTCATACACAGAGCTGAGGGGCCAAGCTCGTAGATCAAACATAAAACTAGGCTAAATAGCACTTAAGTACCTTATAGTTTTACTTCCTTAGCACTTGTATACCTTGAGTTGTTTAAAATTGGCACGTTAATACACTCTATTTTGCAAAGGTAAAAGTTTTTATCTAAAAATTCCCAAATAATGTCCATATGATAATTTCATAACTTTCTGCCTATTAAGTGTCCTGAATACATTATTAAATCTTTTTAAATTCTATTTTTCAAAATAGAATTAGGATACATTTAAATTAGAATTTGGATAGGTTTAATCGTAAGTTAATAGAAATAATGGTTAAAAAACTCTAAAAATAATATATGAATGTGATTTGGGCACTTTCAGATGAAAATTTTCACATTTACATAACAAAGGGTATAAACATGCTATGTTTAAGCAATTTAGGTATATAAATGCTACAAAATATAGCTAAGAATATGTATAAGTGGTAAAGGAGTGAAATTATGAAGTAAGTAAGTGCTGTTTAGACATAAAAGTATCCTCAAAATGATCTATATTCTTAATAGCACAAAACATAACACAAAAACTTAGGAAAATTCTCTAGAAATTCTCCCCCATAATCACAATGCTAGACCGAGTGAGGATGAGTGCCGACTTCTAAGGAGTACCTTGGTACCACCCAATAACAAGATTGGACGGGCGAACAACATAACACTGACATGTCGGTTTGGTCTAATCGGTTCCACTCCCGCATGCACACGATCAAACTATATATTGAATCTCCCAGATCAAGATGCAGGAAGAGCCCTCATCCTAGCGAGTAAACAACCACCAAGATGATCACGAACTGATCAATCAAGCATAGAGTAACCGTCGAATACTCAAAGCAGCCCTCTGGGCTATGGCCAAGCTTATGACCTAGAGCATGCACCCCGAGCATGGTTCGAGGCTACTAGAGTCAAGCTACCAAGGGGAGGCTACTAGAGTCGAGCTACCAAGGGCGTGACCCAACTTGGGAAGCCTTGTGTCACACCTTTGATGGAAACACTGTTAAAATTTACGCCAAAACCCCTAAAATAGCAGAAACGCAGTATAGAGAAAATATACCAAGATTTAACGAGGCTCGGCAAACTTGTCTACGTCCTCGGGAGCCACACAATTAATTTTTTATTAATCAACAGGAAATTACAATATCAAGAGCAGATCTCAAACTTGAAATCTCTTAATAAATGCTAAATATCACTGTAGCTATAGTAATATTATCCCCTCCTTAAATACCAATTCCTTCTCTCTTAAATTCTCCCTTTTATTTAACTCACTTCCTCAAAATCTCGTGAGTAGAGAGCGAGAGAGGAGAGAGGGAGAGCCGTCGCCGAAAAATGCCAACCTCGCCTTGGAAGCTCGCTAGTAGCACTCGAGCTCGAGCTTGCCTGCAGCGGTTAAGCTCGAGCTCGCCTCTAGTGAAGGGAGAGCCGTCGCCGAAAAATGCCAACCTCGCCTTGGAAGCTCGCTAGTAGCACTCGAGCTCGAGCTTGCCTGCAGCGGTTAAGCTCGAGCTCGCCTCTAGTGATTCGACCTCGCCTGTAGAGCCTCGACCTCGGCTGCAACTCATCGTCAACTTTGCCTGCAGCTCATCGTCAACTTTGCCTGCAGCTCGCGTGGACCTCGCCAGCAAATCTACAAGCTCGCGTTCGGATATTGCCCTCGCTCGCGCCACGCTCGAGCTCGTCTTAGGAGCTCGCCTGAAGCTTCTCACCTGTGGAGGTTTGGATCCATGCCCAAATCCAACAATCTCCCACTTTGAGGCTAAACTGCTATCAGCAGGCTATCTTAACAAACACCTTCTCCTGTGTGGCTCCGCCATCATTATTTATGCATGAAGGCCAACTGAAGTTGCGCACAACTCTAATTTCTGAATGGTCAATGTCTTTGTTAACATATTTGCTGGATTCTTACTTTCTGGAATCTTTTCCAGTTTTAACACATTATCTTCCAACATGGATCTGATGAAGTGGTACCGAAGCCCAATATGCTTCGTTCTAGAATGAAATGTGAAGTTCTTAGCCATGTGAATCGCACTTTGACTATCACTGTGCAAGACAATCCTCTCCTGTTTGAATCTCAGCTCAGTTAACAAACCCATAACCATATCATCTCTTTACTGGCTTCGGTCACTACTATATACTCAGCTTCTATAGTGGATAGAGTGACAATTTTCTGTATCTGTGACATCCAACTAACAGTTGTAGTTTCGACAATGAATACATAGCCGATGGTGCTTCTTCGGTGATCGACTTTATTTCTAAAGTCTACATCTATGTACCCTTGCACTTCCACCTCTCCCTTACCAAAGTGCAAACACTTATGTGTGGTGCCTCGTAGATATCTCAAAATCCACTTGACCACTTCCCAATGAGTTTTTCCTGGATTCGACATAAACCGACTGACAACTCCCACTACATGGCCAATGTCTGGTCTCATACAGACCATTACGTACATCAAACTTCCGATAGCTGATGCGTAAGGGACCTTAGACATGCTCTCTTTCTCTTCTTCTGACTGATGAGACTGATCCTTCGATAGGCAAAAATGGCTGGCTTGGGGTGTGCTCACTGGCTTGGCATCGCATATGTTGAATCTCTGCAAAACACGGTTGATGTACTCCGTTTGAGATAACTGTAAGACCTCTCTTCTTATCTCTCGTGATTTTCATTCCAATGATCTTCTTTGCTTGACCCAAGTCCTTCATATCAAACTCCTTTGATAGCTACTGCTTCAAACTTCTGATATCCTTCATATTTACACCTGCAACCAATATATCATCAACATACAGTAGTAAGATGATATAACTGGACTGATATCTTTTGAAGTAGCAATAGTGGTCAGCGTTGCACTTCTGGTTCCTTGTGTATGAAGTCGTAAAACTTTCTGTATCACTGTCGTGGGGCTTGTTTCAGGCTATACAAGCTCTTCTTGAGTCTGCACACTTGGTTCTTCTTTTCTTCTAAGAAACCTTTTGGATGGTGCATATATATCTCCTCTTCTAGATCTCCATGAAGAAAAACTATCTTCACATCTATCTGCTCAAGATGAAGACCTTTAATTGCTACAATACTCATCAAAATCCTGATAGTATTTAGCTTCACCACGAGAGCGAAAATATCAGTGTAGTCAATTCCTTCCTTTTACTGGAATCCTTTGACAACTAGCCGGACTTTATATCTTCTGGAGCCGTCCTGCTCCTCTTTCACCCGGTACACCCATTTGTTATAGAGGGCCTTCTTACCTGTGGGCAACTCATCTAGTTCCCACATCTGGTGTGAGACGAGAGACTTCATCTCATCTTTCATGGCAAGCTCTTACTTACACGCATCTCCACTTTGACAAGCTTCTTAATAGCTTTCAGGCTCCCCTCTATTTGTTAATAACAGATAGTTCATATATCTTCTGTTAGGTATAGGAGGCTGAGAAGATCTTCTTAATATCAGAGTTGGTACGTCGGGCTCCTGCACACCGTTCTGTCAAACAGACTCTTCTGGCTGAGGACCTTCTGCATTGGGTTCATCCGAGAGGTTACTTGGAACATCATATGCATCTATAAATATTGACTCCCTCTCTAAGTCATCTGTCTTGTGCATGTACTTGTACATCACCTTCTCGTTAAATATCACATCTCTTCTCCTGATCACCTTCTTGTTTTTATTATCCCAAATGCGGTAGCCGAACTCATCTTTACCATAGCCGATGAAAGTGCATTTCTTTGACTTAGGATCAAGCTTATTCCTACATTGATCACTAATATGCACATAAGCTACAAACTGAAAAATTTGAGATGTGAGAGTTTTATCTCATTTCTTCACCATACCTCCCCTGGTATTCTGTGCTCCAATGGAACTGATTGTGACACCTCTGGGTTCACACAAGACTGCAGTCCAAGGTAATCAAGAATGTTAAACCTGCCATGCACCACACCGTGTAATAACATGTTTCACCATCACAATTACTATCTCTCTAGTAGTGTCAAATAACAGGTGTAGATACAAAAGCAAGTAAAAGATAATACAAGAGTTAACTCATGAAATAATAGAGATCAAATTAATATTTCATCATCTAACATACTAAAGTACAAGTCAATGACTGAAGTGAATTAACTAAAGTATTCAACAAGTCTTAAATACAAAAAAATATCTGACAAGAGGAAATAAGGCACACAGGCTTTACAACTTCTAGAATAAAACTCTCAAATGTCTAAATAAAAGTCTACAGTGGAGCTCAAAAGAAAAATATAACTAAATAGACAGCTGAAGCTAAAATGCATCACCATCAACCTGCGACTCTCCGGGCGTCAAAGCTCTAGCGAGCAACATCCCAACCAACCCCAAGGGATAGGGCTTATTGTATATGAAAATACAGTTAACACATAATAATATAAAATCTTCTATCCTAACAATAATGGGTTTTAGTACTTAGGAAATTACAACACGAGCATAGGTACGTCGAGCGAAATAATCCAAAGAAGGAAACCCTCATGTATATACCTTGTATCTCAAATTGTAAGTCCCTAAGTACCAAATTCGGAGTCAAATACATGAACAATAAAGAAAAGAAAATGAACCCATCTCTACCGATAAACAAAGTCATGTCAAAGCCACAATAAGTGTCACGTCTAGCGTAGGTAGCTATCATGTCCCAATTTCATAAATATGTCGTGCTCCAAACTCGGTTATGTATCATGCTCAAG